TCAAAAAGACAAGCAAGATTTCCCAAGTACCTTCCTGTGTGGCACACTCTCTAATTAGAAGGATAAATCACAGATATTTGGGGAAGATGAAAAGAGAATTTATACTTACTAATAGCCTGCTATGTTCCAAGCTATGGTGGTTCAGTGTATAATTTAATCTTGCAGCAATCTTATGAGGTGGTTATTAAAAAAAAGTTGAATTTATAGATGCCGCAGTTGGCATCAGAGAGGTCATACAGCCAGTGAATTGCCATTCTGGAATTTAAAACTACGTCCACCTAACTTCAAGACCTGTGCTCTGAAAGAATTCTACACATGTAAACCTGGGAATGCACAATGGTGTGGAATTAACTATCAAATCAAATTTCTACCACCACCAAGAAATAGGGTGCTCTACATAACATGAGGCATTCAATATAATTTAATCCTACTGCCAATACTGATTTGTTTGGCACTTGAATCTTACTTCAGGCATGAAAACAGAAACATTATTTGTGAAAGCTATGTGTTAATACATTCTGAATGAGAACCTAAGGGATTGACCTAAAATAAATTCAGTATATTTTATGTACTTTTTATTTTTTATCTTAGTCCAGGAAATTTGAATAAGTTACTGGATAAGTTTCGAACTGCTATATAATTTGCTGAGGAAATTAAAGAACAGAAAACAAAAATAATGAACCTGACACTTGAAATGTGTAGCTGTGGGTAGGGAAGACAGAAATGCTGAAACCAAGCAAGCAGAAGCATGGAACATTTTATGCTGATTCTGATGCTACAGATTGCTATGATTTTATTCTCCAATAATCTTGTGAGGTTTTATGTAACAAATATCATAAATGTTCATAAGTCTACATAGCTTTGTTAAAGACAGGTGTCTTGGTTTGTTTTTGTTGCTGTAACAAAATACCTGAGACTAGGTAATTTATATAAGATAGAAGTTTGCTTGGCTCATAGTTCTGGAGGCTGGGATGTCCAACAGCATGGAACCAGCATCTGGTAAGGACCTTCTTGTTACGTCACCACAAGGCAGAGGGCATCCCCAGCCAGATAGCGCAAGCACTGCAGCTCAGATCTCTCTTGTTCTTATAGAAGCTACTGATGCCATCATAGGAGCCCCACCTTCACAACCTCATCCAATCTGAATTACCTCCTAAAGCCTCCCCCCCCTCCCCGGCAAATATCATCAACACATGAATTTGGGGATTAAATTTCCAAAATATGAATTTTGGAAGACAAACATTGATGTCATGGCACCAGGTATAGTACTTGACTCAATGTTCCTCAAAAGCAAAATTCTGGAGATTGACATCACATATCACATACTATGCAAAGTAATATTTATTCTCACTCTAAATTTACTGCCCATTAACTTCTTTGTATTTCTCTTACCCATTGTCAAGCAAAACTAGGGTACTCACCATTCATAAAAATGATTTAGGCCATTGACATCGATGCATATTTGATTTTGCTCTTTCTTTTGTCAGGTTACACTGGGGATTGATGCTCTCTTTTGAGGAACTACTCTTTTCTGGCACCAGCTGACTGGCAGGCTTGTTATGACCTGCATTCCAGTTGACACACCACAACAATGCAAGGGAATACAGCAAATTTAACATCTGAACTTTGAGAAGAGCTGACGTCATAAAGTTCTTAAAGAAAGGGTATACATGTTCTTTGCACATAACGTTGGGCAGTCTCCCTCATGGTAGGACAAGGTGAGAGCTAAAACTTGATATATATCTACATGTATCAGATTCTCTATTTATGCCATTGCACATGTCTCTACAATGCTCTTATATATGTATTCCCAATTCTTTCCGTGGACCAACTGAGGATGTTGCCAAGATCAAGGAGCTAATAAAGAGTAGAGCTAGGATTTGATCCATGTGTCTGGTTTTTCATTTCAAGATGTGATTTCCCAAACACACTCAGAATCTAAAATATCATCTTCATGGGGTTATTTATCACCCTACTAGTTAAAGCTAATCCTTAGAGGGAAAAATCCGCAGCTCAGTAAAACTATAATTTACAACTGGTCGGAGGGCCAACTGGAATGTGACATGTTATAGTCAATCACTTAGTACATAATTAGTGTGTAATTAAGAGGTAAAAACTAAGGCACATACAGAACAGCCTTTGTTAATGGTGATGATTCTTTGGGGACTGAGTTTCCACTTTCATTTTCATTACCGTAGTAGAGAAACAATAAATAATGGAATAGGAAAGGTGGAAAGAGAGAGGACTAAGGGAAAGTAATCTGTGCATTTGTTTACCACTCAAATGCTCTTCAAAGGCAGCTTTGCTTTGCTTGAGTGGCATTTTTAATATTTACCTTTTTTTAAAGAACGATGTTGATGATAATTTTATGATTCTCTGCCACTATGTATTTTTAGAATTTTAGAGCATTAGAATAATATTTGATGTTACCTAGGTCTAAGTGTGGAATTCAAGATCATAAATTGTGCTTCTGGAAGAGAAGCACTCTGCCATGTCAGCTTGGACATTCTCAGTAACAAGGAACAGGCCAACCCTTCCATCCTCATGTTGTACAATTGCTAAAAAAATAAATTGTTAACTGCCCATCAATCACAAACCTGCATACCTAGAGCCTTCCTATAAGCATGTCAGAAACTATGTGATAGCATTCGCTCCTAGGCTGTTGCTTTGGGTCCTGGAAAAGTCCTCAGTGTTTATTAGCATTTATGTGTGAGATCACTGGATCTATGCACTATCATAGAGCTATAATTACCTGTACTTCTAAACATATTTACACAATTTTGAGACTTCTTTAATAATGTTTGAGCTTTAGGATCTAAAACAACTCTGAATTTCAGAGAAAAAAAATTTTGCTCTTCTAATTCATTTACTTAGCTTGGGACTCAACACAGATTTTTGACCCAGCACAGAAGAAATGAGACATGTGTTCCTACAAGGGTCTTATTCAGACCTGTAAATTTTCTTCAGTAATTGCAACCACAGATTGCAGTGTTAGCTCTCAGCCACCCAGGCCCAGTCCAGCACAAATGGATCATTGTAGAACTTTCCTGTGCTTAGAGTGATGTGAAATGCTCATTTAAAAAGCAGATTTGTCAGGCTCCAACCCTGATTCAGTAATTGATATAGTTGCATACAGCTCAGGAGTCTTTTTTTTTTTTTTTGACCAGAGCTAAAAGTGATTCTGATATAGGTGGTCTTCAGTCCACATTTTGAGAGAAATGCCTAATATCAGCCATTGCAAAAATGTAGTTAGTTCTTTTGCTTTTAGAAAATGGCAAAGATGGTGAAATTTGTTGCTCTTTCATAATTTTTCAACTAAACCAAGGAGGAATGTCAAAACAAATCACTAGGCTTTTTTTTTGTTTTGTTTTGTGTATGTGTGTGTTTGCAATGAAATCCAAACTGCTCCTGTTTTAGGTTGAAATGGTCATTATGCTGTCGGCCCAGCTGTGGGAGCTCCAGACTCATATGGTGTCAGGTCTAAAGTAATACAAATGACCCTGTGTCCACAGTAAGTCTCCAAGAGGAAGAAATGCGTAGATTTGAAACTGATATTGGAAGTGCCTCGTCAATAAGAATAGGATGGGGAAGAATATGATAGGAAAAGGAGGAAAGGGGGAGGGCAGGGTTATAGCTTGGAAAGCTGGGAAGGCTGGTATTCCCATTCCCAATTCAGCTGACCATCTCACTCCTGTCTTTCCAGACTAGTGACCAGTCTGCCGTGTCATGCTCTACTTTCACCTCTGAATGCCTGTAGAGTTCCAAGAACTGTCAGAACTCTCAATATTTAGGCAACAATCTGGGCAAAAGAGTTTCTAATTGACTCAGCTATGACTCTGAAAAGATGGTCATTGTCCATGGTTCTGCTAGTTGGCTTGGGGAGTGCTTTTGTAACCTCTTGTGAGAGTCAGGTAAGGTAAGAGAACCCAAGCCGTGCAAATGGAGGCTGGATTCTTCTTTATTTAAATTTTGATATTTTCCTTTATCATGGATTTTTTTGGCATTCATTTTGAATTTTAAAAATATCACATTAAAATATTATGTATCTTGATTAGCTGTGGTTTTGGTACCCTCTTGAATTCTGCTCACTATGGAAGTTCCCCACTGACTTCATTTCATTCCACTGTAGGTTCTGGGGAGAAGTCAAATGACTATAAAGGTCTATAGCTGTTTGTCCTGTAATACATTTAGATTTCTCCCACCTAGAACTTAATTCCTCTAATAAAACATCAAGTATCACTTCTGACTTAAACATGAACTCAGTGTTTAGGAATCACCTTTATAATTCCTAATGCTATAGATCTACTTAATTTCCAGTGGCATTACTTCTTAGTGGCAGAGTAGAAATGAAACTCAAATATTTTGACTCTTTTAGGAATATTAATTTCTTTAGTATGAATATAGCTGTTATTTTGAGGCTTAGTCATCTGACACTTGATATTACCCATCAGTATTAAGCAAAAAGTCTTCAAAGAAGATTTCAAATGGCTTTCCCTTCTGAACTTTAACTGTAGGGAAACCAATAATACTTGGGAAGGGAAACATATTAATAGTGATTATAAGACCAGCTATTTGGGAGATGCACTGTTAGGTACTATGAGGTACATAAGGATGAGTAATGCACAGTTTTGGCCAAGTTAGATCAATGCAGAAGTTGTTAGTCACTTTGGCTAGGATGAATAGGATGTTTTACTGAATGAGAGATGGTAGTATATTTAATCATCAGATTCCACAACACCTTGAAGTGCTACATACTGAGCTCTACATAAAGTTGAAACCTCAATAATATTAACAGGCAAAGTAAAAATCTTTCTATCAAATCAATATGCTTATAATTGATGTTGTTTACAGGTCATAGTTGTTGGTTCTGACAGTGGAAGGAAATAATTTGTAGCTACAGTTATTATGATAAAGCATCAAATTACCTAAAGATTCCTATTATATTCTGGCTATTTCTTAAGAACATTTATTCACTGAATTATAGGAAAAGGTTTGCTTACTTGTGGTCTCACCATTCATCTCTTCAAGTTCACTGTTGATTCCAACATCTATGGAATTCATTATTTTGTCAATCTTTGAGAAACAAAAAACATGCAAATGGATTATTACATACACTTTTAACATTGAATTTTAAAATGACATTCAAATGCCAATAGTATACATTTTTGGCATTACTGCCACAATAATACTATAACTCAAAGACTGACAGAGAAAGCTTGAAAAGAGGAGCAAATGTCTTTTGAATTGGCTTTTAGAATATAAATTATGTTCCCCTTTCTTACATGTTGAAAATTAGCTTGCTTTTTCTCTGTGTTTCTTAGTGAACTTTGTACTTAGATAAGTCAATATGTTAGGAACTGTAAATTCTTTAAACTCAGAGGGGAAGGGATTCACAATAATTTCATATGACAAAGTCTATTATCTCTGGCATCCTTCCTCTTCTGCCTGGCAGAATATGAATCTCATCTGACTGGAAAAGGGAAAGCTATCAGTTTGTGGGCACAGCCAATGGAACTAAGGTCTTGCTAACTTGCTCAGACAGTCACAAGCTGATTAGTGTAATCTAATCTCAAGTATCTAGGCACAGAAACCATTTACTTCTAAAGACACATTAAATAATAATTCATCTTGTCTACAAAAGAGGATTCCATAAAATATTTCAGATAATAAGAAATCGGTCTTCTAAAACAAAAACACAACAAAACAAACAAAAATCTATCCACCTATGAGGATGGACTTTGTAGGAAGATATGACTAAGTTATAGCTATTCATGGTTTAATCCTGTTTCCTCCCTTTTTTGGCAACCTGCAGAAGGCGGCAGGCTTCAGAAAGGACAATGAGCATTACATGTCATATTTCATCCACTCTGTTTTTTTTTTTTTTTTTTTGGACAGGCAGAGTTAGACAGAGAGAGAGAGAGAAAAGTCTTCCTTTTTCAGTTGGTTCACCCCCAAAGTGGTTGCTATGCCGCTGTGCTGATCCGAAGCCAGGAGCCAGGCACTTCCTCTTGGTCTCCCATGCGGGTGCAGGGCCCAAGGACTTGGGCCATCCTCCACTGCACTACCGGGCCACTGCAGAGAGCTGGACTGGAAGAGGAGCAACTGGGACAGAATCCGGTGCCCCAACCGGGACTAGAACCCGGGGTGCCAGCGCTGCAGGTGGAGGATTAGCCTAGTGAGCTGTGGCGCCGGCCTCATCCACTTTGAAACAGATGCAGATACTAAGGAATTTTCCCAAACAGTTCAATTCAGAATGTTAGTATCAGAACTATATCCATTTCTAGTTCTCAGAACACTACAGTGACCTTCTGTGCTACAAAACCTAATCCAATGGCCACCATCTTTTGAGAGGCAAAATGTGACATGCTAGAATAAAAACCCAAGAAATGCTATGGTCTATTCTTTGAATAAATTTAAGAAAACACAATAAATTGTATTGTATTATTCTATTATGTAGTCTTCCTAGTGAGAAAGGATGTTATTTCATAACCTTAGAGGGTACTTATTTTCTGAATAATTCTATGAAATTAATGACTTTGTCTTTAAGTGGAGCTTACTCCTTAGCACTCAAACATTTTTCGTTAATATTTCTTCGATAGTTGTAAAAGGGAAATAGTATGTGATGTGTATTTATTGTGTGCTACTTGGAAAAGAGACTGAGCTTCTCTGCTTACCCTCAAGGTTAAAATTAGATGAAGCTCTTCTAAAAAATATAAAATTATTTAAAGAAGGGGGATGAGCTAACAAAGAGTTTAGCATGTAGCAAAATGACACAGAGCAAAAGACCAGTCTTTTTCTTAATTTGCCAGCTGCTGTCCTTGGTAGGACATGATGTGGCCATTCTCTTGCACTTCACAGTAGTTATTACTTCTGCTTGATGTCCATTTCTGTGGAAACTATAGCCTTCCCCACATGTGTGTTTGTTTTTATACTTGCTGTGAAATTACCATGTATTATTGATAGAACCTTTCCCCTCCAGTTGGAGCTGGATGCATTTGTTAATATGTAAGACATTGTTAATCGTAATAAAAGCACAAAAATCCTTTTCCCCAAACTTCCCTTGACTCCAAAGGCTTAGATAAAGCACAACAAAAAGAACCAGACTTACTTCTTCCCATTCAGACGTGAAGGATGGTGTTCTTTCAGAGTTCCCTTTAGAGCTGTGTTCCACAGTTGAAGATTCACTCCAGTTAACTCTTGAGGTTTTCTCATTTGAAGGGTAGGCAATGAGATCAGAGTCAGATTTGGAAACAGTTTTTGATAAATGCATGTCGATCAGGGCTTTAGGCAATGACCGTATTCTCCCCAGAGTACACGCTCTCTCTACAAATCCCCCTGTGTTCACAACCCACTGGTCTCCATTCCGGGATCCACTCCTGGTCGTTCTTGTGCCAACTATGGTACGGTTTTCAACTGGGTTGCTTCTTTTGTGAAAAATTGTTCTACTGACCACTTTGGGTTTAACTTTCTTAACCGAAGGTTCTGGGTTATTTGTTATTGGAGTCTGTTTGAAAGGCAAAGGACTGTTTGCCAAACTGGCTTCATCTTGTCCTTCTTCACACTGGTCTCTTTTCCCATAGAGATGGAATGGATTTTCAGGAGACTCACAGGCTGGGGAGGATCCATGAAGAAGGCCTGCAAATTGTCCAGGATCGTATTCCTTCGGAGGATCATTGTCCTCCTGCTGAGAGAGGACATCTGTAAAAGGGAGAAAGGATGTGAGGATGCATGTTCATAAAGGACGTTGAAAGTCACAATACCTTATGAACTTCTGCCCTTATGAACTTGTTCGATATCTAGACACCTGATTGATTTTCACATTGTGATATCATTACTTTATGAAATACTATGGCCCTATAGGGCTATGTATAAAGCGAATGAGTGTGTGTGTGTGTGTGTATGTGTGTGTGTATCAAATCTTCCTGATAGACCCAGGAGTTCATTTCAAAGGTATGGATTGGGTATTGAATGATTACATGCCCTGCTCTCTTGTCCCCAGGGTATCTATTTTCTAATGAAGGAACAAAATTGGGACTACTGGAAGTGGGACATACGATAGTCTCACAGTCAATGAATTGTTATGCGGAAGAACACCAAGCCAGTGAGTCAAGATCATATAGAATGACAATTCCTTACCTTCTCCCCAGCAAATAAATTCAAAACCAAAATACTGAAAAGAAGTACAATTAGAAGTGACTGAAAGTTAATAATCCTGATAGCGCTATTTAAATATAAAATTAAGAATGATTCTCTACAGATTATGATTTCAACAACAGGACTTGTTCAGGCTTAACATAGGCAAACAATGTGATCCATAATATCACTACAAAGTGAGACTACTTTATCTAAAATTGACATCGAGCAATTAACAAAACACTGCTTTTTCTTTCTTCTCTGAAATAGCACTAGTTATTTTCTGATTTCTTTAGATCTTTGGAAATGCAATGCAGAAAAGAAACCAAAGAAGAATTATAATTTTTATTGCTTTAGAACATTTTCTAAGATAAAACATAAATATTCTCTAAGGTTTAAAATACACCATGCTGTTTTAGAAATTGGTTTATCTTTTAAAAAAGAAGCTGTAGAAAAAGGATGCTGTAGAAAAACTTGGTCAATCAACTTAGCAAAGGGAGTCAGTTTACTTTTTTTAGTGGTCATTTGAATTTACAGATAGCTGAGTGTTTGCAAAGATCAAAAGTTAAATTATCTGATGAGCTTGTAATCCAATCTTGGAAGAAGTTAAGTATAGCCAGTGTGGTGCATAATGACAACAAATCCAAAGTTGCTTTGCTGATCCACATTTTAAAGAAGTGAGTTATTATTACAAGCTCCAAACATCAAAGATTTTCTAACAAGTAACATGTGCATTTAGTAGGCACCCAATTAGGAGTTACATTAATTACATCTCATTAGATCCTTAAAACAATTCTGTGAATTATTAATAATAATCATGAATTTCTGATGGAAGGACATATGGCAATACTAAATTCTTACATTTTCAAGAAATTAGCAGCCACAATAAGTCTCAATAGACATTTGCTCAGAGGACTCTACACATAGATGTGTCCCTCAAATGGAGGATTGGCTCTAGGGCTCTATACCTCTGACTTTCTGGGAGCTGAAAAGAGTAGGTTTGTTGCTGATTCTACATATGCCTGACCTCACGCTAGTTCCTGCTTGGCTTTTCCAAACAGAAGATGTCTTCCTGCTCATACCTAACACACCAACATCCTGAAATGGGGGAAAGAAAAGTGATAGGGAGAGAGATCCAAGAGGGAACAAAGCAAAACAAGAGTCTTTCTATATCCGTCTAGTACCCCTACATTCACTTAAGTCTTCCCAGAAAAAGTTCTACTTCTTTTTAAAGCAGCCTTGTCAGGTATTTGACAACTCCAGTATTTCTTCCTTTTACCAGAGAGGCCATGCTTGAGGTAGTATAGTAGGTGGGAAGTGGGGCACAGAAACCTTCCTGAAAATTAGAATTTCTAGCCTTCTATATACATTTTAGAAGTCAAAACTAACAATTAAATGACTCCAGTTGTTGAGTAAGTGCATAGGCTCAGATTCAAACCAAGGCCTATCAGATTTCAACAGCCATTGACATGGAAAATATATTATTATTAAGATAAGAGAACAACAATGCAAGGCTGATTTACTCAGAGGACAAGCAAGTAAGCTGTTCATGGAGACAGATTTCTCCAGTTCATGACTATTTCTGGAATTTGTGAAAAGTGGACTAAAACAGTAGAGCGAATTTTGTTGTTGTTGTTGTTATTGTTCTGCTTGATTTTCTTCTTGTGGATAAACTAATACTAAGAGGAAATAAGATAGGGCATTCGGTTCCAATTTATTCTCTCTTTTATCTTCCTAGGCTATTTGAGACCCCTGTAGTGCTTTACAACATAAGCAGGTTGATATGGGATGACAGTAATGGTGAGCTATAGTAGGAAGGAAGAATTGTGAAATAAGGAAGTTTAGAATTTCATTTTGAAAGCTGCTGAGGAAGGCTAAAGGGTTTGAGTTTGAAAGGAAAATTGAAAAGACAGCCTGATGTGGGGAAAAGATCTATTTATCTCTGTCAAGAGTGGTTCTGATCATGTTTATTATCAAGAATACTAAGAATTTTAGGGATATAATATTATTTAGAGTTTTCTTTGAATATTATTATAAGGTCACTATCCCCTCTGTGGTTTGATTACAATGACCATAATTAATACTCCAAAGTGTCAGATATTGTCCAAGTTGTCTGGTCATGAGCAGCCACTTCCCTAAGCAGAATTTACTATCAGCTTATAAGTTTAGCATCATGATTGTAATATTTTTTGGTGAAGAGTAATGAAAGGACAGACATTCCTTCATTATTTCAGTGGCCAGACTCTAAATATTACTGAGATAGAGAGGATGGAGGGAGGGAGGGAGAGAGGATTATGAAGGTTGTTGGCAAGACGGTGAGGTAGACTAATAGCGGTTCCAGCCTCCATCTGCTCATAGCTCCCTATAGCCATACCCCTCCCTGTTTCCAGTCCTCCCCTGCTGACTCCCAGCATGGCCATGTGCTTTGCACTGGTCAATGAGATGGTAGCAAACATGATCCAAACAAAGATTTGAAAGGCAGTTATATAATTGACTTTTTCTCATGTTGCTTTTGGAACTTTGCCACCACATGAACAAGCCAGGCTGGGCTGACAGGTGATAAAATGATACATTATCCAATTGTACTAAAATGTTTTATTATTTTTCAGGTATGGTAAAGTCAGTAGTCAGGAGATGATTTTCAATAAAAAGACAGATTGTTGCATTCATAGATCCAAGAAGAAAGGGCCATTGTGCAGGAGGGAGCCCAGTGGGGAAGCACCACTGGAAACAGGAAGCAGAAAGAGTAAGGGGAGATTGTGGGCATGAATTATTACGGTTTCTGTGGGGGAAGGAACAGGCAAAGCAAGGATAAGCAGATTGACGATTCAAAAGTTTGAATAATTTTGTGGGCTCTAGGGCATGCTGACTGTCTAGGTGTCTGGTACTTGGCCCTGGGGTAATTATGACAGATGAATATTGGCACAGAGAAGGAAAGTCCAATGAAGAAGGTGGTTGGTGGTGAGGGATCTGGATTGACTGTTTTGCATATGAAAAGCATTCACATCTGTGAATTGTTTACTATCTCAAGGAATTACCTAGCCCTGGCAAGGGCAGTCCCTCCAGGATCAGCAAGGAGCCGGGTTGTCAAAACAAAATAATAAAAACAGAACAGAAAATAAAAAGACATGGTTGGGGTGGGCATTGCAGTGCAGCTTAGGTTAAACCCCACTTGCTACCCTGCATCCCTTAATGGAGTACTAGTCCCAGTTGTTCTGCTTCTGCTAATGCATAATGGGAGGCAGCTGATGATGGCTAAAGTGCTTGGGGTCCTGCCACCCATGTGGGAAACCCAGATAAAGTTCCTGGCTCCTGGGTTTCGCCTGACCCAGACCTGGTAGTTGTAGTTATCTGGGGAAGTGAACCAGAGGATGGTAGATATGTCTGTCTGTCTTTCTCTCTTTCATGCTTTTTCAAGTAGATGAACATAAGTGAATAATATATATATTTTAAAAGATTTATTTATTTATTTGACAGGCATTGTTACAGAGAGGCAGAGGCAGAGAGAGACAGGTCTTCCGTCTGCTGGTTCACTCCCCAGATGGCTGCATGGCTGGAGCTGCATCAATCTGAAGCCAGGAGCCAGAGCTCCTTCCAGGTCTCCCATGTGGGTGCAGGGGCCCAGGGACTTGGGCCATCTTCTACTGCTCTCTCAGGCCATAGCACAGAGCTGGATTGGAAGTGGAGCAGCTGGGACTCAAACTGGCACCCATATGGAATGCTGGCACTTCAGGAAGCAGCTTTACCCATCATGCCACAGTGCCAGCCCCAATGAATATATTTAAAAAAAACATGAATATTATACCATCCATCTCTGTTACCCCAGTCAGCATCCAGCCAACTTCCAGAAATGTGAGCGAGGCTATCCAAGTTTAACTAACCCAAGGGCAATCTGCCAGCCAGAGCTACATTAACAAAGACAGCCATGGCTAGCTGAGCTGGCCCCAACAAGAAGGAAATAACCACCAGGATCATGAGCTACATTAATGGGTGTTACTTTTTAAACCATTAAGTTTAGGACAGCTTTACACATGGAATACATAGCTGATTCAAGCTTATCCCAATTTTTAAAGAATTATTTTATTTGAAAGGTAGAGTTAGAAAGAGAGAGATAGAGAGAGAGAGGGAGAGGGAGAGGGAGAGGGAGAGAATCTTCCAGCTACTGGTTCATTCCCCAAATGGCTGCAACTGCCGGGGCTGGGCCAGGCTGAAGCCAGTAGCCTGGAACTGCAACCTAGTCCCCCATCTGAGTGCAGGGGCCCAAGCACTTGGGCCATCTTTAACTGCTTTCCCAGATGCATGAGCTGTATAAGAGGAGCAGGTGGGGCTCTAACCAGTGCTCTAACCAATGCTCTAACCAGCATTACAGGTGACGCCTTAACTTGCTATGTCACAATGCCGGCTCCAAAAATTAATACATTCCTTAAAATAAATTCTGGTAATATTTATATTTCCCTATCTGGAAGATGGTGATAGTAATAGTATACACCTGAAAGTATTGTGAAGCTTGAATGAAATACTAAATCAAAGAAGTGTCACAGTCCATATAGGTTGATATGACAATA